AACAAAAACGGCAATGACTTAGTTGCCAACCCAATAATTAGAATGGGTCTCGTACCTAGCCAATGGAAAATTGCCATAGTAATACCAGTTCTAAAAAAGGGCAAAGACCCTAGCAACTTTGACAACTATAGGCCTATCTCCCTCGCAATCGTGCTGGCTAAACTTATGGAAAGAATAGTTAACAGGAGGCTGACCTGGTTCCTTGAGAGTGACAATATTCTTAGGAGTGAACAAACAGGTTTTAGGCCACAAATTTCAACGAACCAACAAGTAGCCACTTTCTCCCAACACATCGAAGATGCCCTTGATGCAAGAAATACCCTTACGGCTGTTTTCGTCGATTTTAAATCAGCCTATGACTTAGTATGGAAAGAGAAGCTAATTCTAAAATTGGCAAAGATTGGTATTAAGCATGACATGCTAAACCGGATAGAAGCATTCACTGGACAAAGATCGTGTAAAATCAGATACGAAAATGCTCTGTTAAAATCCAATCTTTTACAAACAGGTCTTCCACAGGGAGCTGTAAGAAGCTGCACTCTTTTCAATGTCCTCATCAATGACATAGCCGAATTGGTACAGGCAGTCACGGGCATCAAGTGCTTACTTTACTNTCAGATGATCTGGTACTATGGTATTCCGCCTCTAAGAAAAACGCTCAGGAGAGGACAGAAAGTGCCCTAAATGGTGCACTTAAACTACTAGCAAACTGGTGCGACAACAATGGAATGGTAACCAACACCGCGAAAATGACATTCCAAACTTTTTCTTTGGCCCATCACAGCATAAACCCGCTTCTAAGGTACAAGGATACTACCCTAGAAAAAACCAATGAGTTCACATATCTCGGAATGACGTTTGACACAAAGCTAACGTGGAAAATTCACATTGCTAAAATAGCAGAACGAGTCTCCAATAGACTGAATGTCCTGAAGCGTCTTGCTGGTAGCGTATGGGGCTGTGCGCGCTCAACTCTAAACACCACTTACAAGATGTTTATTCAGCCAATAATGCTGTATTGCTGTGAGCCACTCATTACAGCCACAGAGGTGACTCAAACCACTCGAGAAGGCACACAACCAAGCATTACGACTAATTACTGGAGGGATAAAATCAACACCCATTGATGCAATGCTCCTAGTTTCAGGAAGCACCACAATAGGTTCCCTTATCAAAGAAAAGGCCTTGATCCTGTATGAGAAGCTACTGCGCATTCCCATGGACAAGTTCTTCAGCACCTATGAGAATAGACCAAGACATCTGAAAACGCAATCTGGTCTAATACAGAAAGCCATAGAACTGAAGAAAGCATTACAAATCGATGACAAACCAAAAAGCCTCTCTTCCCCCATGAACCCATTAGCAGACATTGATGTAGTGTGTTGCACCCAACTGCTCGACTTCTTCAGGAAATCAAACACCTCTCCAGAGCAAATGCGCTCACTGGCCCTTGAGACAATCAATGTCAACTATCCTGCAGATCAATGGCTCCAAGTCTTCACTGATGAGTCACATAGAAAACGAAGCAAACGTTGGTGCAGGTGTCTATTCTGAACTCTTCTCTTTCTACGCAGCAGTGGGACATAATAGATCCGCTTTTGAAGGAGAAATAGAGGCTATTAGGATAGCACTATGCCAATTATGTCGCCTGGATACGAAATTCACCAAAGCGGTGATACTTTCGGACTCAAGTCAGCAATAAACTCAATTGGAAACAGAGAGCCACCCAAAACAGCTGAGATAAAGGAATGTAGAAAACTCTATGAGCTGCTGAGAGAGAAAAACAAAACAGTGGTCCTACAATGGATTCCTGGTCACTGTGGCATTAAAGGCAATGAGCTTGCTGACACACTTGCTTAGAAGGGGACAACGATTTTGCAATGCGTGGACCGGCCGATGTCTTTCCACACAATGAAGGCCTTAATCAGGAGAGAATTCAATACCTCAAGGTGCAATGAACTTAAAGCTCGAACAATGGAGAAACAGTGGACAGTGGCAATCTCCGACATACCCGACTGGCCAAGAATCGAAGCCGTTGCTGAGCTTAGACTACGTACCGGACACGATTGCTTGGCAAAACACCTTCACAGATTGGGAGTATACACTCAACCCACATGCCCTCTATGTAACCTACAGGAGGAAATGGAGAAGACCCACCTGATTCGGTGTCCAGCCCTAAAGACAACGACAGAAAGCCGGAGATACTGGGAAGCAAGAAGACAGCTAATGAATTGCTATTAACTAACTGATATAAATGTACCCCCCCCCCGCACCCTTGGGGGAAGCTGAAGTCAAAGATTAAGGTCTAATGATAAATATCACAAAGCCTGCCATTTGAAATAAATAAATTTTGCCACTATACATGAGTGTTGTAGGCGGTTTTTCTAATTTGACTTGAACATTTAGTATCGCAATTTGGAATTTGAACAAATTCCATTCCGGGTTTTCTAATACTCGACTGTTTTCGTACCAAAATTGCATTATCTCATTTAATATCTACCCGCGTGTGTTGAAAAGCTATGACACCTCTTGCTCTCGTTCTTTTTGTCCGAACAAATGCCTTGTCCTATTCTCCGTTTATCTGTGACCTAGATTTCGCCATAAAATCTCGTGAATGCAGTTTTGTTTGTACCTATGTACATTTCCTCCTTACTGATTACTGTGGGCATTCCAGTTATGAAGAGCTGATATTTCGCAATGTAATTGATTACGTTTGATGTAAAGTTCACATATAAGTAGAGAGATACAATTGATTTCCTCTTAATTGAGATTCTCTTGTGGAATTTAAAGCCTTCGTTTCATATCATAATCAGCAATAAGACGGCACAACCTGGCAAGTTCTTAGTTTCAGAAATTGAACTATTCCTCTCTTTTGTTCTTCAGGCTCCTGCTTTGAAGCAGAAACGCTCGACTCAACGACGTGCCAAACGACCAGTGAAGTTAAAGGATAATGAGCATTTGAAGGACATACTGAAGGATTTCTCCGACAAGAAACCTTAAAGTGGCAACAAATTCGAACTTACTTCCCAATTACGGTTTTGCTTGAAGTACTAAAATCGACGTGTGAAGATTATTTTCTACCTGTGGCGTAATTTTGAATTGCGTTTTCTTCTCTATCGTTTGAGATAAATTGACTTTTTCTTCGTTTATCACCATTGTTTGTTGTGTGTCCCCGTATTGAGCTGCGTTCAGTTGACCGAATTGTGGCATAAATTGTACGGAATTGCCTTTCGCATTAATGCATTTAATGTGTAAAATTGCACAAGTGGATGGGAACCATTCTGTGTTTATTCCTTCTGGCCGAATTCTACAAACTCTATTTCTGAGCAAAGTCTTTCATTTTACTGTTATGGGTGGAAATTTGCAGACTCAAAATTTACTGTGATGACGAAGCTCTGTGTCAGTGATGCAACCACAATAAACGCTATTTACATCGTGCGCCTTTTTGCTCGATGTGCTTTCGGGAGCGATGTCATACCAGGAGAGTTGCCATACAGATTGCTGGAATGAATTTGGTTGATCAAAATTGAAATGGTTATACAAAATTAAGACGACCTTCACATTTTGATGTCGTATTCAAGTACCCGGTTGAATTAGATCCTCGGTTGACTGAAGAAGAATTATGTCAGAACCCCGTGTGTGTGTATGTTTGTGCGTTGTCAATTTGGAAGCGGATGGGATTGGGGGCCCAGTGGGCTAGTGGTGGGAAATCACTTAAACTACAAGAGCAAAGTTAATTTTTGTTTTCAAGCTACTTGGTTGATCGTTGGTGTTGATACCACGGGTGTTACTTTTCGATTAATTAATGGACGCATTTAAATAGTAAATACGGGTGGTTGAACCATTCGTGTGTTAAATGTCACGATTTGCAAATTAGAATCCCACTTCATGTTTCTGGCCTGAAAATAGGTTTTAAAACTCTCTCCTTTTGTAAGCCTCACTATGCAGAGAGAGTAAAATCAAAAATTTGTACATACCAACTTAGTACAATTAAATGAATTCCTTAAGCAAGGCCTAAATCTCGATCAGCATTTCCATGAAATTGATGACTGACTGGTTTGCTTCACATGCATAAAATGGAAGACATGCCTTGCAATGGTGCGCCAGTATATTTGGAAGGAAAAAGTTGAGTATTCCAAGTTATTATTGTGTGCTTACTTTCGATACTACTCGGAAATTGACTAATTGGAGACGTTAGGGCAGCAAGATGTCCAATTGCCTTGTTGAATTAGATGTATTTTGTTTTGGTTTGAAGTGGAGATCGGTTCAAAGACGAACACAACAGGACGGTTGCAAACGGAAAAGTTTTACAATTCGGAGTATTCATGGATTACCTGTTTCTCCATAGCCCATTGTCTACGAACCCCTCACGTGAGTGTCAAGTTTTTTTGTGCCATTTTATCAATGACCAAGTGAAGGTATACTGAGCATTGTTTGGGAATATCGGCTACCAATAAACCTTAAAGACTTCATTACTCTAGTAGGGTAAAATGAAATCTGGACAATATAAGAATGTCAATCACTATTTCCCGTGTCCCCTCTCCATCGCTCTCCAGAACATTCATGCGTGGTTAGGAATGGGGGGCTGGAGGGTAAGGTGCTAAGTGG